GGTCGCCTAAGACCATCGGAAAACAAAAAGATATTTACATTACGATTCATAACAGTCGCAAAATTACAGTTATAGAGTAGCAACGAACATAATTTTATGGTTGGGGGTCACCACGACATGAGGAACTGTATTAAGGGGTCACGGCATTAGGAAGGTGGAGAACCGCTGGTGTAAGCGCTGGAACCACGCTCGCACAGCACACGCGAGAGGCAGGAGGGGACAGAGAGGCTGCGGAGGTCCCATCCGAGCTCACTTTGGGCCACTTTCTCCTTATGGAATTCAGTGAGGCGGCCGGCCCATGTCATGCTGAACACGATTTTGCCTTTTCTTATCTCTATTGTTTTCCAAATTTTAACTTTTCAACCAACATCTATAATTCTTGGACGTTAAATGCAGCTGTGATCTGTAAGCACGCAACCCCTTCTTCAGTGAGAAGTTTTTCCACCAGCAGTGAAAGACTACTCGGAAAGGCGGAGAACTCGGGAAAGGCAACTCCTAACTGAATAACTGGGAAGACAAGACCACGCCTTTCTGCATGACTTTTTGTTAAACTTTAGAAATCTGTAACCTAAGCCGGGGTTTGCACACCTGTGGTCCTGGGGTGGACCTGGTCTCCACATGTGTTTAGTTTGCCGTGTTCTTCAAGTTTTGAATTACTGTCGGTATTTAACATGGGGCGCTTTCCCATATTCAGAATTCAGGCTTCTCTTGAAGAACACAGGGAATGTGGCATCAAATGCAGGCCAGCATTTCCCGTGGCAGTCGGGGCTGGCACTGCCCACTTTCCCCACCGGGCCGGGTGGGCACTGGAGTTTCCAAAGCTGACACAGAACAGTGTCTAGATCTGTTTTTGAGTCTCTTAAGAGGTGGCATTCCCATACTTGGTTTCTATTTTCTTTTCATAAAAGGAACAGCGATTTACTATAAAGTGTAGACACGATGCCTAAAAACACAATTCTATCATAAACATTGCTATTTATATTGCTAACTATAAAGGCATACGACATTGAATTCAGATTTTGAGAATATGTGGACGTCCCTTTAAACAGCCAGGCAGGGTGTTACTCTCTGGCATTGTTGCAGCGTCACTGGAGTTCACGTGGGTTTTGGAGAATGATGATGACCACGGCGATGGTGGCGTCCGCGTTCTCGGTATTAGCGCATTTACCCCCCTCAGCACCCCGCCCAGCAGGCACCATCCTTATCCCTGACGTAAACAGGAAGGAAACAGGCACAGAGAGGCTGACACATCACTCACCTGAAAGCTTCCTGCTCAGGAGCCCTGCCCTCGACTGACGCACAAGTGTCACACATACGGAATGTTCCCCTTGCCTCTCTGAACACGTCTTAACAGCCCCGATAATTCTGATTCTTTCCAATGAGGAAGGGCTTGGAGATCGGAAACGGGCCACTCTTTTCATGACCGCGCCATGTCTGGGAGGGCCAACAAGTAATGCACGTTCAG